ATATCTTAAAGAAAGTGAAATAGATGGTGCAATTATAATTACGACACCACAAGAGGTAGCATTACAGGATGTTAGAAAAGAAATTGATTTTTGTAAGAAAGTAAAAATACCTATTTTAGGTGTTGTTGAAAATATGAGTGGATTTATTTGTCCGAATTGTAAGGTATTTAATTATTTAATTATTTAATTATTTGAATTTTTGAATTTTTTTTTTTGGAGTTTATATATATATATATTTTCATGGGTGCATCTATAGGGTGAATCGGTTATTTTTGCACCTACAACAGGTGGAGCAAAAAAAATGGCTGAAGATCTGAATGTTAAATATTTGGGATCAATTCCCCTGGATCCTAGAATTGGTGAGCATTAAAAAATATTTGAATTTATTAAGAATAATTACTCAACATCATATATTTTCTAGGAAAAGCATGTGATATGGGCATATCTTTTCTTGATGAATATCCGGATTCACCAGCTTGTAAAGCTTATTTGGACATTATTTCTGGTAATATATATATACTATTCGATACCAGTTTTAATAAATAATTAATAAACTTTGCACAATTTTTTTAATAGAAATCAAGAAGCAAATTACAGACCAATAGTGTATTAATTGATCTTATAGACTGTTGAATTTATTGCATATAATATATATTTTATATATTATGTTATAGTAATAGCGTAAACTTCTTCATGTCATTCATATAACTGCATAATTGTATTATATTTATTTCATACTTTACGTCACTTGATCTAAATAATATACATATATTTTTTTTATCTGTGCTGATGTCTTATGAGTGTAAAATAAGACAATAAAATGTAAAATGTAAACTATTGTAATTAATTAGGTCCGAAAGAATTAAAAGTGTCATCTACAGAATCTATATAAATTTCCATCCCATATAAAAAAAAAAAAAAAAAAAAAAAAAAATCAGCTAGGCCGTAAAATATATAAATATATATATTAGGATTAAGAAGTGTGATAAAGTTTAATACGAAAGTAAGCTTTTGATTTTAAAGTCCAGCTTCGCTGATAAATCATAAATCACATGAGAAATTCGTCACATGACCATTTAGAATTAATACAGAAGATATTACACAAAGTATTACACAAAGCACGGTCCAAGCCAGCCAAATCTGGTGGATCGATTTTTTTATCGGTTATCGTGGTAATCAATTTAGGGAAAAATGGACTGTACATGAAAAACATTATGTATATATTATATTGCTATATAATAAAGCATTAAAAAGGCTGTGACTTGAAACAAATATATCACGTGCCTTTACAAGTTTATAATTATCTTTCTATAATAATTAATATATAATTTCAACACGCAATTTTTCCATTCCATTTTTTCTCTCAGCTTTGGACTTACTAGTTCCATTATTCTTTGCCCTCATAGTCTTCTTTAACAATTTATATTTGGTAAATTCCGGGTCTCTATTAGTATCGCCACGAACTGCACCCTCGTTCAATTCTAAATCAGTTGAATTAACTAATTGATTTAGCAGCCGTTTAGATTGCAGTTTATGAACTTTTGTATTATGGCGACGTGTAGAAGATTTAGACGTTTCACGGTCCGAAGATTCTATAACTTGTAATGGGTCGAATGAAGTGGATTTAATATCTTCGTGGTCTGTGTTATGGTCATCTTTCAGTACATTATTTTCTGCATTCAAAGTTTCCGCGGACGCAGTAGAATTTGGAGGAGCTGGTGTTTGAATTTTCGAAGTAGCTATTGGAGCGCCCAATACTACGCCTTTCACAGCTTTCTTTTTATCGGTTTCCTCTACTTCGTTATTAGTGATTTCATCATTAACATTTATTAAATTGGGTTTCTTGTTTCTTCCACCCCATTTTGCTGCCGCAGCATAAGTTGGATGCTTATGTGCTTGTACGAGCTGATATTCGGAATCTTCATTTTCATCATCATTCATAGAAGAATGATGAACTGTGTGGACAGTAATACGTTGGGCTAGTTCTATGTCTTCTTCAATATCCCATTCATTAATCTCTTCCCAATGTTCGTTGGCCATTTCTCGTTCAATGATAGTTGGTTAAAAGTGGTTATAGGTCGAAGAGGACAAATAAAAAAAAAAGTAAAGAGAATTAAAACGATGGAAATAATAAACGTGTAGGAAATAATATTCTATATATATAATATAAGTGTTTAATATTATTTTATTATTATTATTTATTATTGTTTATTTGAAGACGAGAGATAGGGAATGTGGTAGGTCTTTTATACTAGTATGTATGTATATACAGCTACGCCACAACGCGTACAAATAGAACAAAGCAAATGTTCATTTCCAAGAAAACTTTATGTATGTCCCATGACCACAATACTGTATATTTTTTCCAAAATAGGAATCCCGCAGTTACGTAATTAATAATATTCATTCAGATGACTACGTATAACATTACTAAAGGTTTCAATAAAACCGTCACGTCGGGTAAATAATACAGTTTAAAACCCATAAACGGTTAAGCTAAATACAGTTAAAATTTAATGTTTATGTGTAAAGAGATAGCCCGATACATAATGAAAAAAGGATATAACGTATATCACAGGTCTTATCACCACTAATGTTATTTGGAGTACGCATGAGGTCCTATATGGTTTTATAAGCCGAGCTTATATGCGTGTGTATATATGTCATTTAAGTATTTTTAGTCACAAAGTTTAATCGCTTTATTTGGAAGTCATTTTATTATTTTTTTAGTAAATGGCAGCGTAATGCAAACAATAAAGAAGACACAAGTAAACATGAAATGAACAAATCATATAAATATTTATGCCCAGGTACTGTAAATCGCGAGGTCAAAAATGCAAGGGTGAATGCGTTATATAGAGTATCACCGCAGTAGCATTAGATTTCACAAGGATATTTTTTCTTTAGGAATTCCCTGATATATATTTAATTAAAGGATTTTGATTATTTTTTTTATTTTTATTTATTTTTTAATTTAATTCTTGTTCACCCTGTTCTACATATTCATTGAAGTATAGTGATTGTTTAGATAGTTGATGTACTGTACACACTTCGCATATTACTTTGGTAAATATATCTATCCGATTCTTTCAAAATATAATTTTTTTTTATTACTGTATTATTATTATTATTTCGCTTAAATTTTTTGACATTTAAAAAGAAACGTCACACTGTCGCATTTGCAATTTCTGCATCTATGCAAGTCGATATATAATAGAAAACGATCATACGATAACTGTATTATGATTATGAGTCATTAAAAAATGCATACACAACAAAGAAATGATTCAAATATTACATACATAAAAGGTTATGAGATGAACAATCGCTGTTACGTGCTCCTCATAATGCTTACACTATAAACATGCATTAAAAAATGTCAATCCGTCCCAAAAACTGATAAGAGATAGAAAAACGAAAGATTTCGTTGATAAATCTATTAGTGTGGCACACTACGATAACGAACTTAAGGTCATGGGGTTAAACGAATTTTGGCTGTGCATCTAATCAATACGTAAATCGAGGCTCAATATAGGCGTGAATAGGCTGTTTTATGTGAGGCACATTCTCTCGGCATCTCATAAGATGATTATTTAAGTGTACGCCGTAGGTTTTACTAATATTTTTTTACGTTTTACTTTTAAATATTATTAGAATGTGGGGTAACCTTAAGCAGTTAATTATGGTTATAGAAAATAAAGGTTTATAAATGTTCATGACGCTATTTATCCTGATACTATACTTTTTAGTAAGAGGTTGATCGTTCGTTTTAAGGAGCGCTGTTTTGCTACAAATAATCTTGAACGTGGTCATATTTGACACAATAAAATAATGTTTTCCTTCAGACTAATCATGTCATTTCATATAGGAAAATTA